AAAACATGTACACTTGTGTAATATATAGTCTCAGTTTGGCCATGCTTAATAATGGGATGGGGTTGAGACTTTTTTCATTATAGACTTTAGATTCAGTTTGATTTATTTTAAAATCTTAAGTATGGAAATTTCTAATATTCACAAAAAGGAAAAATGTGACGAACTCATGTACTTATAATCTACCACCTTAATCAGTACTCAAATTGATTTAGAGAATTAAATGATCTTTGAGAAGATAAGGAATTAGCCTTGTTTCACTAATGAATTTGTTGTTCTTAAGTCCTGTAAAGCCAAGTCTGACTCATAGTGACCCTGATTAGGGTTTCTGAGGCTTAAAGTCTTTGTGGGAGCAGAAAGCCTCATCTTTCTCCTGTGTGGTGGTTGGTGAGCTGGAACCATGGACTTTGTGGTTCGTAGCCCAGTGCTTATTGTATTCGGAGCCACCATGCTTCTTTCTCTGCTATTTATAAGGTTTTCAGTGACTAAATATTCGGAAGTAGTTCATCACTCCTTCTTCCAAGTCTGTCTTCATCTGGAAGCTCGTCTGAAACATGTCCACTATGGGTGACCCTGCTGGTATTTAAAATACCAGTGGCAGAGCTTCCAGAATCACAGAACTAACAAGCCACCATAGTACGACAAAGTGACAGAAGAGTGGTAGCCTATGATCAAGAGCCAGTGATACTGAAGGAAGAAGTCCAAGGTGCATTGAAGGAATTGGCAAAGAATAAGGCACCAGGAATTGATGGAATAAAAATTGAAATCTTTCAAGAAAGTGAGGCGGCACAGGAGGCACTCACTCATCTCTGCCAAGAAATTTGGAAGACAACTATCTGGCCAACTGATTGGAAGAGATCCATATTTGTGCCCATTCCAAAGAGAGGTGACCCAACGGAATGTGGAAATCATCAGACAATCTCTTTGATATCCCACGTGAGTAAAGTTTTACTAAAGGTAGTACAGAAATGGCTGCAAGCATACATTGACAGAGAACTTCCAGAGGCTTAAGTGGGATTCTGAAGAGGATATGGAACGAAGGATATCATTGCTGATGTCCAATGGATCTTTGCTGAAAACAGAGAATATCAGAAAGATGTTTACCTGTGCTTCATTAAATGTGCAAAAGCTTTTGATTGTGTGGACCATGACAAACAAATTGTAGTATGAGTATTCCGGAACACTTAATTATGTTCATAAGGAATCTGTACCTGGACCAAGAAGCAGTTGTTCGAACAAAACATGGGAACCCTGAATGGTTTAAAATTAAGAAAGGTGTGCGACAGGGTTGTATTCTTTCACCATACTTATTCAGTCTGTATGCGCTGAGCAAATAATCCGAGAAGCAGGGTTCTATGAAGTAAAACTTGGCATCAGGATTGGAGGAAGACTCATTATCAACCTGTGATACGCAGATGATACAGCCTTGCTTGCTGAAAGTGAAGAAGACAAAGTATTGATTGATGAAGATTAAAGAGCAAAGTCTTATGTATGGATTACATCTTATTGTAAAGAAAACAAAAATGCTCACTACTGTACCAATAAACAACCTTCTTATCAATGGAGAAAAAAATTGAAGTTGTCAAGGATTTCATTTTTCTTGGATCAACTGTCAACACTCATGGAAGCAGCAGTCAAGAAATCAAATGACGTATCGCATTGGGCAAATCTGCTGCACAAGACCTTTTTAAAGTGTTGAAGAGCAAAGATTTCCGCTTGAAGATTAAGGTGCGCCTGACCCAAGCCATGGTTATTTTCAGTAACCTCATATGCATGTGAAAGCTAGACAGTGAATAAGGAATACCTTAGAAGAATTGATACTTTTGAGTTCTGGTGTTGGAGGAGAATACTGAAAGTGCCAAAAGAACCAACAGATCCGTGTTGGAAGAAGTGCAGCTAGAGTGCTCATTTGAGGCCAGGATGGCCAGACTTTGTCCCTTATACTTTGGACATACTGCCAGGAGGGACCAGTCGCTGGAGAAGGATATTATGTCTGGTAAGGTGGAGGGTCAGAGAAAAAGAGGAAGACCCCCAGCGAGATGGATTGGCATAGTGGCAGCATCAATGGGCTCAAGCGTGGCAACAATAGTGAGGTTTGCCCAGGATCGGGCAGTGTTTCGTATTGTTGTGCATAAGGTTGCTATGGCTCGGTATTGACTTGATGACACCTAACAATAACAACAACATATGCTTCCTTAATAAATAAGACATGAAAATTCTGATTTAATAGTTAATTTGAATTTCTTCAATCATTATTTATTCATTTATTTATGAAACAAAAATTTATCTAGGGTGTACTAGATAAATGTGTATGTTTATTAGTGCTTAATAATTAAGAACCTTGGATGGATGCAAATCCTAGTCTTGTTAGTTAATAATGAGGAGGCTTCTAAAACTTCGTGGAAGATTCCTTTATCTTTTGATTACATTTTTACACAAATTCTTAGAATACATACATTTTCTTGTTGGTTGGTTGAAGTGTACAAAGAAGATCATCAATTTTACATTTAACATAACATACACTTCATTTCATCTGCATTGTAATCCCCTCATTGTAACATCACTTATCCAACTTCTTTCCTGTATTTCTTGTTTTTATTACTCCTTTTCAACCCTTTTGAACTTTGTCTTTGAGTAAATGCTACCTTTTTGTTCTTAGATAGTTGACTATTCTATGGTGTGTGTACCTCACTACTCTTGTTTTCCCCGCCCTATGTATCTATCTATTGATTCTCTGTAAATTGAGCCATGTGAGTGAATTCAGTTCCAGATTTGAAGGGTGACCAAGGGCCATATTTGCAGGGTTCTATCAGTCTCTAAGGAGCTCTGGTAGCGTAGTGCTTATGAATCAGGTTGCGAACCCCAAGGTCAGCAGTTCGAAACTACCAGCTGCTCCGTGGGAGAAAGAGGCTTTCTGCTTCTGTAAAGATTTACAGCCTCGGAAACCCTGTACAGGGTCGCTATGGGTCGGAATTTACTTGACGGCACTTCACAACAACAACATCAGTGTCTATCCTGCTAGTAAGCTTGGTCTTTTTTATGATTTTTAGATTTGTTCCACATTTTCTCTCACAATATCGAGGTTCTTTTAATGGGATCCCTTTGAGAGCAATTGATGTGGTAGCTGGGCCCCATTTAGTTCTTCTGGTCTGGAGATCAATGTTCCTTTGGCCTATTAGGGTTTTGAACTAATCGTTTCCATGTGTCTTCTATTTTCATCACTACTCTTTCCTCAGGAAGACAAGGAGAAACCAGTAGTTGCATCTTAAATGGCTATGTATGAGCTTTTAAGAGCTTAATCACTTATCACCAAAGCAGGGTGGTAGAACATTTTCTTTGTGTACTATTTTATGCCAGTTGACCTTGGTGCTCCCAAAACTATGATCCTGAACACTGGGCCCCAGTAACTCATTCCCTCGAGGTATTTGGTTATGTCTAAGAAGTCTTCATAACTTTGCCCCTTGTATGCTTCATCACAGTCATGGGTATATTTACAACAAAGGTAAATACCCATGTACAGATAGCCTCTGTCAAGCCTATGTATATTTATGGATATACTTCTACTCTCCCTCCTACATCCATTTAGCTTGAGTGTCTATCCATGTATCTACCCATTGTTGTTGTTGTTAGGTGCCATCGAGTCTGTACCAACTCATAATGACTTTATGCACAGCAGAAGGAAACACTGCCTGATAGATCACTGTTATTTCAGGATTGTGTATATAAAACAATGCTTACCTCTGTTGACTTCAAGTTTGCATTCCTCCTCTGTCTTCTGTCTCCTATCATTTAAAAAAAATTTTTTTTTGCCAACCTCCCTCTTACTGGTAAAATTGAGATAATTCAAGTGTTGATCTCAGAACATTGTGAAGGTTAAGGGAGATAAGGCTTATGAAGTTAGCACAGTGTGTATTACAGTGACTTACTCTATAGACATTAGTGACTATCATTCTCTTTTTCTTCATCATCTTTGTCATCCAGATTTTTTTCTAGGTGCTACTGGTGTGGTGCTTTGGGTTAATGCACTAGACTGCAAAGTCGGTTTGATCCGCAAGGTCGGTGGTTTAAGCGCAACAGCTGTGCCTGGAAACCCTATACAGGGTCACTATGGGTTGGAACTGACTTGACGGCACTTAATAACAACAACAACTGGAGAGTGTGAGAGGTTTAAGATTTTGACCCTGACCTTGAAGAACTAGAATTCCCAGATCACAAAATATTAGGGCCAGGAAAATCTTCAAGATTATCTAGTTTGAGAAGCCCAGATCTCCTCCTTTATTGTCGAGTCTATTTCTATACATAGAGACCCAGTAAGACAGAGTAGAACTGCTCTGCTCTGTAGGAGTTCTGAGGCAGTAAATCTTTATGAATGCTGACTCCCTCATTTATTCTCCTGTTGATTAGGTGCTAGGTTTGAACCACTGATCTTTTGGTTAACAGTCCAATGCTTAACTCATTGAGTCACCAGGGCTCCTTCACATACCCAGAGAGGTTTAATGAATATCACACAGTTATTAATGGCAGAAATGAACTGAAGTTCAGGTCTCCTAGCTCAGGTCTGTCGCTCTTTTGGTTTGTTAGTCTCTGCTACTCTTGCCCACAGACTTATCATTTGAGATTAAATCAGTTCTGACTCATGGACACCCTGTGTGTGTCAGAATAGAACTATGTTCCATAGGGTTTTTGATGGCTGTTTTTCACAAGCAAATTACCACGCCTTCTTCCAGGATGCTTCCTGTGGGCGGACACAATCCTCTAGCAACTGAGTGTTTTAACAGCTTGCATCATGTAGGGACTCCTCTTTGTCAGTCTTGGCCTGCATGCTATTTGGTTCTCTGCCTTTTTGATGCACAAACATTGAAGTATATATGAGACTTTATCTGCTTATAATACAAGAACATAGCTGTGGTCACTTTCTCCTTAAGATCTTTTTAGGAAAGGTGGGCCAGCTGTCTCTCTGTGTGTAATCACAAAGATGTTTTTATTTTGCTTCTGAATCACAGCCCAGGAGTTAAAGTCACTGTTTGAAAAAAAGTCCCTCAAAGAAAAGCCTCCAAATTCTGGGAAGCAGTCCATATTATCTGTACGCCTGGAGCAGTGCCCTCTGCAGCTGAATAACCCCTTTAACGAGTATTCCAAATTTGATGGCAAGGTAAGTAAAAAATGAAATCTTTTCCCTTTGAGTAAGACCTCAACTGGTGGTGGTGGTGGTATTAGTATTAGATTTAAGGGTTTCAAAGTACCTCAGTGTAATTGCTTAGAGCAGGGGTGGGGAGTGCCAAGGCAACTGCAGTTCCAGCCATCATATTATAGCAGAGTAATTTTTAAGTTGATAATTTTGTATGGCCTGTGAATCATGTTATAAATATCCAAATGTCCCGTGGGAGCAAAAAAGGTTCCCCACCCCTGATTTAGTGTCACTCACATATTCTAAGACCATGATGTAAAAGGTGTGAATATGGATTCAGTGTTGTTTCCTCAGAAATTTATTTGGGAGCATTAAAAAAACAAAGTCCTGAGTCTCCCACCCCCCTTATATTTTATCTCTTAAATGTACTGGGAGTTTTGGTTGGATGGGTCTTATTGTGGTGAAAAATCTTGAAAGTGGCTTTGGAAGGCAAATCTGTATACAGGCCATATCTGATTATTATGATTGTAGAAATTGTTAAGATTTAAACTTCATTTCAGAATTCTAAGCCATTGCTTTGCATTTCATTATTTCATTTTAGGGAATCTTGTTTGACACTTCCTTTTCAGGATGACTATTTGTTGCCTGCTTGTTCTTAAAATTTGATAGTGCAAAATTAAAGTGTCTTTGTTTTCCATTTAGAAAAATGGCCAGTATTTCAGGTGGAGCATAGTTCCATGTGCAGCCTGACCCCCTCCCCATTAACTGCATTCTGTGCAGAGCTGAACAGGACCTCTTTCAGGAGACAGTAGCAGTTGATTTTTATATTTATTGCTATTATGCTTGCTTCCTGGCAGTGTTGTGGGGGTACTGAGTGATAGTTTATTGCCTGGAGGGGTTGTGTACAATTTGTCTTATTTCAACACCATTGCAATTAATAAATATACAACTCTTTGCTTATGTTTGCATTTTTCTTACTCACATGTCTGTTTTGTCAGTTGTCATGTTTGAGGAAGGAATTATTTTCTCTTTGAAACATTATTGCTTCATACAGTTCAGCATGTTTTCATAGATTGAAGTAAGCCTATATGGTCATCAGCACCTGAGATTATTGATGTTTATAGGAACAGAGGGTAAGGACTAGAAACAATGTATAAATGGCATAAAGATCCTAATAATCTGAGAGTACTTTTAGTGAATTATAGATCATATTGCTATTTATGTAGAGCTGCTCTTGTTTGTCCTGCCTCTTTTTTCCTGTTTCTTTTTGTGGAATGTAGCAGAGAGAAGGGAGGTTGTCTTTATGATGTAAGTTTGTCATCCTTGTGGGTATGTGCTGGGGTGTTGAGTTAGACTATGTATGATTTTATTTAAATAGTACAATTGTGAGAAGTCAGTACTTGGACTAGATTACATAAATTGAGTTTATATGCTTCCATTGCCTGCTACTGTCTCATTGTTTAAGGACATCATTGCAGAAATAATTAGTCTGTGATAATGCTTTGACGCATAAAACAATAGCATAGATCTTTAAAAAATATTATATTCTAGAAATCTCATTATGACAGTAGACCCTATTATAAATTACTGTGGTTTGGAGTTTTCAGAAGCTTGTGAACTCTGCATGGTATATATGTGACTTTTGAAGTGCCGGAGAAAAATTAAGGAAAAAAGCATTAAGGAAACCATTTCCTTCAGTCACAAAGGAATCATTTTGTTAGATGTGTTTCATTTTAGACGCTGTGATTTGTCATATCAAGTATACATACAGTATTTGTAATCAGTAAAGGATGTGAGCATGGAGTGATTATCATTACTCATTTATTAAGCATTTACATATTGATAACTCTATCTTATAATGGATACTATTTTATTATTATCCTACATATTACAGTTGCTAAAATACAATTAAACCCTTGTTCTCATCTATTATTCAATATTGATGCATTTGGCAGATATATAATGAAAGTGGCTAATATTTGAAAGATATTGTACTGTACATATTAAATTAGTCTTTCTTTATCTTTGTGAAATACATCAATATGATAGTCAATGACATCTCAGTGATTAATAGTGAATTATACTTGAGTCAAGCCTTTTTGTAACCTAGAAATTAAAATGACTATTCAAATAACACCTCAAAATGATCAAATTAGCATTTTGTGATTGTATAATAATGGGATTGTAGTAGTTATAACAGCACCATGGCTGCCTCTAGAGTTAAGATCATGTCAACCCCTTGATAATAAAGCCTTTTCCTTGAGAATCGTCTTTAATAATTTCCAGATTGATTCTTCCCATAAATCATTTGACATTTAGCACTAAATTTTTGTTACTGTTGTAACTTGGAATGATTTTATTTTTATTCAGATCATACTTAAGAAGTGAAATGAGTGTCCTGTTTTAATGATTTACTATCCTGTCATTTGAGCTTACTGTTTTTTGCCTCAAATACAGTGCTTTCCCGTCTGATTATTACTATTTTGCAAAGGTTCCTTAAGCCACTAAAATATGTACAGTTTTTTTTTTTTCCTTCCTACAAATATTCAAAATGCCTTTCTTGGGAATAATGTTTGCCTTATTTACATAATTAACTGAGTTGCTTAGGTCTCTTGGGAAAGTGGTACATAATTGGGGAAGAAGGGGACTGGGAAGAGTTTGGGGTCTAATTAAATATGGTAAAAAACTACTTAATTATGTATTTACTCAAGAGACTAACTGCTGTGAAATCCTCTTTAAGATTAAACTGACTTTAAATATGAGGGGAGGATTTTTTGTTTTTGATACGGCTTTACAATTACATTATAGTTTACCAAGCATATATAGTGTCTGGTGTGGCACTGTAGGATAAGCACTGGACCGCAATGTCAGTTTGAACCTCAAGGTCGGTGGTTCAAACTCTCACTAGCTGCTCCTTGGAAACCCTATATAGGGTTGCTATGAGTTGGAACTGACTCGATGGCACTTAACAACAACAACAACATATTTAACAGTTTGTGCAAACTGGATTGCTGGTTTTAGTGATGCTAGGAGTTAGCATCTATTAGCAATTGCAATTAATTAAATAGAATAGTATCAACTTTTTTTTATTCCTGTGGCTGGTTAATAATTTATTGAAGACAGAAAATCGAGGAGAACTGCTGTATTTAGGTGTGTGCTTTGTTGTAATTTTAACAAATGTTTTGGTCAAGTTTATTATTATTATTACATTATTTCTTTGATAAAATGGTGTTACTGTGACCTGTTTTAAATTCATATATTATTAAAAATTCTGTTTATTGATCATTTGAAAAAAATTCAAGGTTGATTGCAAATTGCTTTAAAAAAAAAAACAACCCACATAATTTAGCATTTAATTAGATACTGTCTTTCAAAGTCCTTGTTTACTTGTTACAGTTTATTTGACAGCTCACACATAGATCATCAACATTTATGGATGAACTGGAAACAATTTTGAATTCTAGGATAGCTCTTCCTCTCCTCCTAGGATACTTTTTTTTTCTTTAATGTTTTATTGTGAATTATGTTGTAGTTTACATGGGAGAATATTAGCTTTACATTGCAAATTGCTTTTAAGGAATATACTTGTACAGACAAGGCAAAACCAGGTTCAGCCATTACCTGAATTCTTGAGAGTAGTTGAAAACTAGAGAATTATACCTCTGAATGGCCTCAATAACCAAATTAAACCTTTGTCCTAGAGGTTGAGACATCCAGAAACTTATTGCATTTCTTATATGGGAAAAGTTGTTAGTTGTGACAAGGCAGAATGAATCTATGAGTTGCTTTGAGGTGAGAAGGGAGTGGGCTCCACTGATGGACAGTGAGCATTCCTCACTGATTTAAATACCCTGAAATATGTGAGATTTTCTGCCCTTTTCCTCCACCAATTACCTGTCAAAAGAGTCTATGTTTTGTAAGTAATCTAACCCTTTCCATTCTGTGTTGTTTTCATTTTTAAGTGCTACTATAACAGAGTTGCCAAAATTGTGTGGCTTTATCAAACAAACATTTATTTTCTCACAGTTTAGTTGGCTAGAAGTCTGAATTCAGAGCTCTAGCTCTAGGGGAAGGCTTTCTGTCTATTGGCTATGGGTGAGCTCCTTCCCACTTCAGCTTCTGTTTTCTGGTTACTTGGAGATCTCCATGTGACTTGCCATCGATCTTTCTCCCTTTCTTTCTGCTTGGTTGTTAAATCTCTTTTTATAGCTCAACATAGATTGTTCAAGATACAGTCTATAATAATAATCCTGCCTCAATAATTTAAGAATGACACCCCATTCATAAATGAGATTATAACCACTGACATGGTTAGGACTTACAATACATATTTAGGTGGGACATAGTTCAGCATGGTGGGTCGCTAGGATAATCACTGGACTGTGAACAACGAGGTCGTAGTTTGAGCTCCCCAGTTGCTCCTTGGGAAAATGATGAGGCTTTCTGCTCCCTCAAAGATTTACAGCCTCAGAAATCCTATACAGGCTGTGAGTTGTAACCATCTCTGTGGCACTTAACAATGGTTTAATCGCCTTATCACTTTATTGAGCAGCTTTTACTAGTATGATTTTATCATTCTTCTGGTCAAATTGAGTTTGCAGATAACATCATCAGTAGACCATCAGAAGTTCAAATACCCATATCCTGTCAAGACAGTTACTAACAAAGAAAAGGAAACTGATTATCAGTTGTGTCACCCAGGTTAGTTTTCCAGCCTGTTTCTTTACCTTTGAAAAGGAAATGAAAGTTCCTTTCTTACAGGCTGATGAGACTATCAGATAGGATAATATTAGGACAAAGGAGTTCTCACAAAGACAGGCAGTGTAGTTTTGTTTCTAAGCTCGTCTGTTCTACAATAAGACATGAGTTTGAATCCTCACTCCATCTCTAAACAGTATGACCACATTACATAACCTTTAGAAGCTCTAGTCCTCATTTATGGAATGTACTGATGATAGTGTATCTATTTTATTAAGATGAGATGAGATTAGGTCTTTTTAGTAGACTATATGGCAGGGGTTAGT